GCTTGATATTCTACCCTTCAAACATATGTGATGTTATCAGGGCCTTCCTAATTCTGACATACAAAATTTAACTTTTATATACTTTATAGAAGAGTTCTAGTTGTCTCTGAATGATATGGCTCTTAAGAAGAGATAGCATTTAATGAAATAAAACATTTTTATTTCAAACTTTCTGCTGATGTTAATTCAATAACTGTTGTACCTTATATTGACTATTTTTGTTATTTTAAAAAAACTTCACATAAATGAACAAAAAGTTAAGGGAATTCCTGGCACTATGTTGGACCAAAAAGGAATACAAAAGTTTAAGTCATTCAAATGGATCAACTTTTCACCCTGGATTCTGTTTATAGACTCTCAGCTCACATTGTTGGAATGAGACAAATGTAGCCAGTTTTACTTTGATCTGTGGTCAGTTCGACTTTCCAATCTTGGCACAATGGTGACATTTAATAGGCAAAGGAGTAAAATAATTTCAAATCCAGCCTTTTACACATGGTGAAGACACTGGCCAAATATGAAGTTAGGCCCAAACCGGCCATTACTTTTTTATAATGTTTTTCTTACAGTACAGGATATATACAGAAATATAAATAGCAAAGCACATTTATTCCTCTCATTAATTTTATTTTGAAAGATAAGGACTGATTAGAAATCACTGAGACAACAAAATGTGAGGAAGAATTGCTACAAAGTACAACCCAAAACAGAGTGAAAAGGGTCTTGTACACAAGTCACTGTTTATTGCCGAAAAAGATTATAACTTTAAAAACAATTAATCAAACTTACAGAAAACCAAACAAACCCTTGTTTATGTGTCTATTTTCTCATCACTCAACAAAAGGTTGTCTGAGTCACCCAAATTTTTGCTGCCTCATCTGCAATCCCAGACTCTCAATTTGATAGGGGACATTAGTTATAAGAGATAAGGGAATTGAGGTCAAGTCTATAAATTAATTATTGAAGAACCTCATTCATTTCAGAACAGAAAGTCTCCATTTCTCCACATCAGGCCCTCTTTTCATGTCTACCATTATTAAAGGAATCTAGGGGGAAGGGAGGGAGAGTAATGGAATTTGAAGGGATATTGAGTGAGACACAGGCAAGGCCCATGGTCAGTGAGATTGCCTAACAGACACATACCTATAGACACAAGCTTGTGTGGACTATCACCACAAGTTCGGATCTACGGGTTTGTGGCAACAGGCCTCAGTATCTTCTCTCATTTGGGGGTTTGGCATGTCTGAAAATAAAACATTAAAGCCATTATTCCAACCAAAGATCCTGACATCCTATTATTTTATGCTAGAAATGTAAAGATATCATCTTGCTCTTAGCAAAAGTTAAGCAGCAGCATCTAAGCTCCTCCCCATATACATCCCTTTGTTTTCACACACTACAGATACACTGGCTTAGGTGAACCTCAACATTGTACTGTTGAATATTACAAAACACTAATTTATTCAGTCCTCAACACACAATTTTGGCAAAGTGATATCAGTATAGGAAACCAGTGGAATAAAGGAAATTCTTTAACTTGTAGGAAAGAAAAACACTTCAGAGCCCACAGGCAATTCCATGTTTTAAAATATGTAATTACATGAAAAAAGATGGTGAAGCTGTCCTTTTGCATTTGCATTCTAATAAACAGCTGGAAGAAACTAGCAAGCACCACCAATGAGGCTGTAAGTATTTTTTAAAAAAACTATTCTAGAGGAGATTTGCAGCTACATTAAATTGTAAGATTCATCTTTAAGAATAGTATGTACTTTTGTTCCTCACCCTCACCCTCACCACCATTATTCATTCAAACACCAATATTGAGCAAGTGTTGGTATATTTAATAAAATTTGTTCCAGAAAAGAAATTATATAATTGCTTCCCCCCAGAACTGTTTGAGGATGTGTGAATGAATCTGTTTCTGAATCTTTCTCATCCTAAGATTTCATTTGTCAACATAATATCCCTTCTTCAAAACCAAATTTCTAGTTATGAGAATGGAACATCCAAGACACCAACTTTTCATTAATGGTTACTTTTGTGAATTTTATTGAAAACACAGTTTTAATCATAAGCACTTCAAGGACACATGATACAAAGTGAAATAATCCCCCCTCCCTATATATTGGGAAAAACATACACCATCATCCCTTTGCAGGATCTAAAAAGAAACATATTTTCATTTTCGTTAGTAACATGGCTCTCAACAAATTATCTCCTTTGCCTCAACATATGAACATTCATTCCTTTCTTAAGAATCCATGGAACTTTACTAATGACAAACAAGATGAGATTAATTTGGGTATTATTCAGAAAAAAGAGCAGGCCATTTTTTATAGAACCTAAAGATGAAAGCGAGAACACAGGGACCCAGCAGTAGGAGGAACAGAGACCAAGATGCAGTCATTCAGAATGGCTTCCTTGTCTGCCTGCTTCATCATGGCAGAGCTGTCTGTGGGCATATAGTTGCATGGAATCCACTGGTGATGTAAAGTTGCCAAATCTCAGAATTTAGTTGCAGCTTTGTGACTTGACTTTTAGATACAAAACTGACAGTGTCCCAAGGGGAGGAGGAGGGGGATAACAGGACAGAAGAGGAAGGGTCTAGTCAAGGAACATGGATAAAGGAGCCACAGTAATGTACAAGAAGGTGGGAACTGACTGAGGGAGCAGCGGGTGGGCAGGGCAGGGAACAGCAACGAGGGAAAAACTGGGACAACTGTAACTGAACAACAATAAAAAATAATAATTTTTAAAAAGAAAAAAGAAACAACAATAGTAGGTGGAAGTGTAATCCTAACCTGTCTCCTCAAAATAATCTTCATTTTATCTTAAAATGTTCCTTTCCTTCACAAAATACAAGATTTTAAAATAAACTCTGAGCTTCTTGTTTTCCTTTGATCTCTCTGACAGAGGCATGGGGCCGGAGGCATTTGTGGATGGGCACTGTGAATACAGTTAGGGGTTGTTAAAACATGTGTGACATAGGAGCTTTTATTAAAACACAAACAAATAGGCCCAGCTGCCAAAGTGATGAGAACTAATTGTTATTTTCAAGTTTATTAAAATATATAATACAATATTTGTTAGCAGTGGACAAAAAATTGTCAGAATGTCACATTTAGTCATTTAGTGGCACCACCTTCATAAATTTGCACCTCAAAGTTGATAGAAGGGGATTGAATGCTGTGTTTCAATTGGGACGTATCTCTGAATATTTTTATTTTTTGGCAAATATAGGACAGAGAGAATTATATATTCCAAATGGTTTGCAGCACTAGCGTCTAAACAATCCAATTTTAATCTCAGAAAATAAAAGAGAAATCAGAAGATGCTCAGGCTGCAGGAAGAAGAAAAAAAGGGAGGGAGGGAGGGAGAGAAAGAAAGAAAAAAAAAGGAAAAAAGAAAGGAAAAAAGAAGAAAGAAAAGAAAGAAAAGGAAGGAAGGAAGGAAGGAAGGAAGGAAGGAAGGAAGGAAGGCAAATACTGACCTAGTAGAAGAGTGGTTTGTTTGGGAATAGCTATTTTCCAAAATGTTAATTGAATATCTCCTTCAGGAACCTTCTTTGTGTTGAGGAGGAAAATAAGGGTTCTTTTCAGAGCAAAGTTTGTCTTGCTTTATTAAAGCAAAATTTTGTGGGGCTCTTTTAGATAATAATATTAATACTTAAGTTGGAATATAAAGGCAATTCCTCTAAACAATGGCAAAATCAGTATAAGGTAATTTGTCAAATGCTTAATTGATACAAAGTTCTTCAATAACACTAAAAGGAAACTACATGCTGAGCTCTGTCCAGAAAAAGTCCAGCCATTGTTAATGTAATGAGAACGGTTTGTGCTACATCAATGCAACCTGGCAGCCAAGGAGAGTGGACTGGAGTGCACATGAGTTAACAATGCTGACTTCACTGTACTAGTCAGTGAGGGTGGTAGATGCTGATGAGTGAGCACGTGTACTGTGTGACTGACGCATTCAAAATGATTGAGTGAATAAAAAAATGAATCTGCATCAAATGCGGCATTAAGCACAAACATTCCTCCCCAGAAACTATTCAGATGATTCAGAAGATTGCAGCTATGGGCAATTGGTGATTGGCAGCTTCATCATGACAATGCTCCTACTCATGCATCACACCTTATGCAGAGATTTTGGTGAAACATCAAATCACTCAGGTGACTCAGCTCCCCCAACAGCCCAGATTTGGCACACTGCAACTCCTGGCTTTTTTTTAAACTAAAATCATCTTTGACAGGAAAGACATTTCAAACTATTGATGAGATTCAGAAAAATAGGATGGGGCAGCTGATGGCTATTGGGAGAATTGGGTGAGGTCCCAAGGTGCCTACTTTGAAGGAGACTGAAGTGTCACTGTCCTATGTACAATGTTTCCTGTCTCTTGTATCCTCTTCAGTAAATGTCTCTATTTCTCATATTACATGGATGGATACTTTCTGGACAGATCTCATCTATCATGACAGTTGAGCTCAAATTTTAGTCATGGGACATGCATGGAGAGAGTACCATAAAATGTATACAGTATTACCAATCTAGGACTAGAGTTAAAGTATCAATATTATTATTATGCAATTTATATAATAAGCCCAATCTTCCAAAAATTTAGATCATATGAGGGAGTTTTTAGACACAATTCTCTAATATTTATATTTTTAAATTTAATTGCAAAAGATAGAATACATAAAGTTAAAGGACAGTGCTTACTGGTTTCAGGCGAGTTCTGCCAAAATCACTGTCAAAACACATCAGCAATGTTAAGTATTCACCTTCAAAAAACTTTGGAACCCCATATAATTAAATGCCAGGACTTCCATACTCATTGGCTATGGATATTATCAAAGTAGTTGCTATTCTTGAAAATCAAGTTTAGAATGCAGTTATTCTTCATAATTACATCATTCAAGCATACCCTAAAAATTTGCAATATTTGAGGATAGAAGTTTGAAGAAAATTATAGGAAAATACTATTACCTGAAAAAGTAACTTCTTATGAATTTTATTTTTTAAGCCTGTTGTCATCTTGGTAGGCCAATGTCTTCAAACTATCCACCCGTGTCTGGAAAATAGAATGATATTAAATGAATGAAGATTTTTTTTGCCCTGTTTTTGGTTGGTTTCTTTTTGTCATCCAGTTGTTTTGTAAAGATGAATTAGAATTAATGCAGAATGATAATAAAAAGGAACACCAGAAACTGAAATAAAAATAATGCTAGAAAAACACTGAGAAGCATTATGTTTACTTCATCTCCCAAATGACACATGGTATAAAGGTTCTGAAAATAAGTGACTTTCACATTTTTCCTGGAATTTCCCTGGCTACAAATGAACCTTGAGAATAATTTTACCAGAAAATGATCAACTAGAAATATGAGGTGTCAGGATACTCTCAAATTTCAGTGTTTTATACCAAACTGCTCATTTGCTAAACATGATTAAGAAATAGACTATCAATAACTAAGACTGAATATGGTATAAGTTGGACAATCATTATTACCTGACATGATACAGCATCACTGAGACATCGTTTAAACTTTTTGATTCTGAAATTATTCTAGAGTCATTATTTTTCTCTGCTGAGGGAGCTGTTAAGAAGTGCAATATCTGACTGTGGTAGACTCATGAGTCTGCCCTCCGTCCACCACAGCAGGATTCTTGGCTTCCATTCCACCGTTCCTTCAATGTTGAAGACACAGGGCTTTCGGGCTTTCTTTTTCTTCATTGTTCCTTTACCAATGGAAGGCACACTCACTGTGCAGTTGATTGCAAAATGGAAAATGTGTTTGAGTTTTCCCTAGCTCCTGACTTGAACACCACATCCATGGTGATGTCCTAAGGATGACACCAACAGAAAGATGCCCTGTCCTGCACCATTCTTCTTTAAAAGATGTGCCTCTTGTACAGGATTCGAGCAGATCTCCTTTGCCCCAAGGAGATAGAGCTTTGCTATATAACAACTTTTTATAAGGTAAGAAAGGAAGGAAGGGAGGGAGGGAGGGAGGGAGGAAAGGTAGGAGGGGAACAGAGAGAGAGACAGAGTGAAAAGAATTAAGAGAAACATAAGAAAAGAATGAAACACAAAGTGAAGGAAAGGAAGGGAAGAGAAGGGAAGGGAAGGGAGGGAAGGAAAGAAAGAGGAAGGGAGGCAGGGAGGAAGGAGAAAACCTCAGTTCTACCCTTTGGCATTCACTCTGACATCATGAAGCTGGGGTGACAGCTAGTCTTTGGTCTCCCTATGGCTTTTCAGTTTTCCTGATGTTTTTTCTCTCACTCTCTGAAGCCCTTGTTTTTTTTTTTTTGTAGCAAGATCTAATCACTTTAACAAAAGAGACACCCAGCAATCCTTGTTCGAGTGTAATTCATTGTTGCCATGCGACACACATGCTGTATCCACCTGTGATACTGCCACCAAAACACCAGACCCATATGGGAGTGTCTTTCAAGCATGCAATTCAGAGGCTTCTGACACCAAAGCAGCTAGCTGAGGTAGAATTGATCTGTGCACAGGACAAACTGACCAGAAGTGAGCAGGGGAGAATGGGGACAGGCAAAGCAACACCATGTCTTTTGTGTTCCTTTCAAGCAAAGGAAAAATTAGAAATTAATATTTATAATCTCCTACCACACACCCCTCATATTAAATAAGTAAATATATAAAATAAGAAAAAAATGTGGGTAGGTTGACTAAAGAACAAAGACATGAAAATGGCATGACAGAATAAGATAGACTGAATAAAAACAAAAGATGCCCTTAGATTATCTTAGCTTTTTTGTAATTTAAAAGCAACATTAAACCTACTAAATATTCACTTACCACAGATGTATAACAGAGATCAACTTTGTAAAAGAAAGGAATTGGAGGCAAATTTGCTGTTGATACACTGCATGAAACAAAAAGGGAAAGAGGCTGCCAGTAACAACAAGTTGTTTCGCAGGCAGCTGGCTAAAGAGACTACTTTCACTTTTGGAAGCAATCAGTTTGCTCCGGATGACAGCTTTTTTTTTTCCTTTAAAAAAGGCAAACAATGAAGCTAACCTACAATTTCCTGTATTGTTAAAAAAGCCAGAAAGTTTATAAAAAATAAAATTAAAAATACAGAAGGCCTACATTTTGATATAGAAACATGAGATATATATTTTTAAAAGTCAGGTGTCTGTCTTTTTTAATATAAATGAACTATTTGCTGCACAAGGCTTCCTATATGCCACCTAACTTTAATACTTCTATATTCAAAACTATGGTCTGCTCCTGAGAAAGCACAACACAATTAGATTAGAAAGCTATGAGTTAAATGACAGTACAGGGTAGTTTAGAAAAGAACTGAGGATTAAATCACTTGAATTCTGTAAGAAAAGAGATGTGCAATATGCAAAGAGTTAGTATTGTCTTAGAGCCTTGACTGTATAACAATGGGATTGTTGTTTAGGAAAAAGTACAAAAGAGCCTGGAACCGCCATAATACTTTCAAAAAGAATCAACTATCAAGCATAAGACATTAAGTTCAGCTGAAATAGAAAAGCCTTTGCCTTACTCACTTCAGGGTATAAGCTCCTTGGAGGAGGAGCCCCTGCAGGGCCAAGCAACCTCTCCCTGCACTTCCTCCTAAGAGAGGCCAGCTTGGCTCTCCCAAGGCTGTCCCTGTCCACTCATTTCCACACCTCCCTCTTGGTGTAGAGCAGCAACACACATCCAAATAAAACATGACTTTTTATAGTTTCCATCAAACTAAAGTTTGGAAAGAAAAAAAGTTATTATCTAGTTCTTGCTCTATACTTTCCCCAAAACCTATGGATCCCTCTCTGCCTCCCAGCCCTCTATCTACCCCTCAACACAGTCCCACCCCAAGACTCTCTCTTTCTCCCCCACCACCATCCTTCCATTCCCTCACCACCCCCATCACACACACTGCTGCTTGGTCCAATCTGGTGCCTGCTTAACAACAGAATGACAAGCAACATCTGTTTGCCAAAGAGCCAAAATCAAAACTTATTTTTTTAGCTAGGTTTCTTTTCCTATTTTTCCCTGCCTTTAGAAAAAAATATTAAGACTTTTATTCAACATCAGCTCCAAGGAGGCACGACTGCACACCTCTACAGCTATTGTGAGGTAAAATAGTTTTCAGTAAAATCATTACAGTATTCATAGTTGTCTCCCCTGAAGTGAGCTTACTTGCCATCAAACCAACTAACTAGATTCCTAAAAGTATTTTTAAAATAGTTTTAAGTATATTCACCTTCTGAGTAGAATCATGGGACCTTTTGTGTTTGTGTCTGTGGAAAAAAAAAAAGGGAGAAGACCAGGCAGAAGAATGAAAGCAAGAGAGGAAGGGGATTCGGCAGTGTCTGCCGGTCTGCAGCAGACAGGCGTGGCCACAGCGCACGGGCACGCAGGCGGCAGGGATGTGCCCAGACCGCTCAGCTGTGGCCCTCCCACCCACTCGGTCCCCCTCGGAGACCAGAGATCCGCAGTCTGCAAAGCTACCAACAGTCCGCAGGATCACAAAGTAAAGGAGCTACCTAGGAGAGGGAGGGGTTTTTGGGGGGAGAAGAGCTGCAAGGAGAAAGGCTTGCTAACCAACTACAATAGTTTCATCCTCCAGAAGAGAAATAGGGGAATGCTAGAAACTCAACTCCTACTTCATCCAGGGTTTGGAAGAAACCCACACACATTAAGGGAAAAATAAATTCGGACAAGTTGCCAAGGAGACTTATGTAAACTCCAAGCACAGAAACATTTCTTTGCCTTTCCCCCCATGCTCCATCTTGTATTCTGATCACGCTGCTCTGCAGCAACATTGCACTTACTTTCTGCATTAACCCTGGTCTTCACAGCGCAGACAAGCATAGCACACTGGCTGTATATATTATCATCATTCAAACTTAGCAAGGTAAGAGGGTGTCCGTGTGTGCATGTGCCCATGCACATCTATGTCTAGTAGGAAGGAGAGAGTAGATGTTAAACAAAGAAGAGTATTTAGACTTTGTGTTTGGGGAGCAGTGGGGAAAGGAGAAGGTGGAAACATCTAGCACTGGAAACTTCCCTTTGACTGCAGATTCCATTCTTTCTCCATGCTCCTAGACTTTTCCCCCTCCCACATCTCCAATTAAACACCTATGACCCCATGGCAGAAGTAAAGAGGGCTTGAGTCCTTGCAGATGCTGAGATAGGGGCCCAGGCTTCTGCAGAAAACTGTGTGCTCCGCAAAGGAGAACCATGGCCCCCTGCTCAGGAGGGTGTCCCAGACAGGTCATCTTTCTGAAAACAAACTGGGACAATTCTAAAACCTTCAAACCAAACCTGTTTAGATCCTAAACCAGCTAGCATTTCAGAGGACAGACTTTAGACCAATATCCCTGCTCAGGTGCAGAAAGTTCCTCCTACACCAACACGTCTTTGACAGCAGTCGATATGTGTCAACATTTGATTTAGGGGAAAATTGAACATTTTCTTTCAAGACAGACATGTTTTACTGTAGAAGCCAATGTTTTTCTTTCTCAGCATCCTGTACTAGAATTTTTTAAATCTTCCCCCAAACAGAGGTGGTAGACAATAAAATAGCCTAAATTATTGCTCAGGGTATCGGGGCAAATCAAAGTCATGGTTGTCTGTGTATTTGCATGTTTACATGTTTATGTGTGTGTGTGTTTCCCTTCCTTGCTGTCAAGAACAGGTTAGCAAGACATACACCAAGGGGAGTATACAGTGAGCATCTGTGTGGTCCCTTCCCAAGTTAGAAAATGTCACAATGTCTGCCCACCAGCCACATCAGAAAAGTTGCAGTGAGGGGCAACCTACCAAGCCTGCTGCTGTTTTAGTCACAGTTCTCAGGGGTGGCCTTGGGTCAGGGGGTTGGTAAAGGGGTGGGAAAAGTTTTGGCACTCAGTGCATAGAACTATGTGTCTGTTCATGCTCTAAGAAGGCTATGTAGTGTCCATTGCTTTCCTTTGCTAAACTTTATTTGCTTTTCACACTTCAGAGCTAAAACAAGCTGTGTTGCCTCAGTGGAAGTAAGGCAGCCTGGCAACTCTGGTGAGCAAGAGGGAGACTTTTTGCTGCTG